TCTCTCTCTCTCAGCCATCCGCCGGTGTTCTGAAGCCAGATTGTCCTGGAGGTGAAGAAGAGGGGACTCATGAGTTTATTATTATATGTAGGTTCATTTATGCATGTATATATAGATGTATATATTTATCTAAGGGTCTGTGTATCTTAGGTCCTACCTACTTTCGTTCGGTTTTCTCTGTTTCTATCTTCTCTCTCTCTTTATTTTTTCTTTTTCACTTTCTCATTTCGTTTCTCCTCTTTTTTCTGACTAGTTATCATAATTCCTTGATAGTACCGTGTTCACCTTCACATAAGATGCGTTTTTTTTCTAAGTACAAAAAGATCCGTCTTATTACGAATGAGAGACCGAGTGCTGTACCGATAGACTAGTCAGCTGAACATAAAGACTTACTAGTATTAAAATGTTGATACAAGCTAAATGATTACACTTTAAAATATTGAAAAAAAGATAGATTATCACTCTACTGACATAAACTTCTAGTAACTTAATCACATCATCTCAATCTACTTCCAAATTCATCATCCACAATGCACACAAAATATACGGTATGTTTTTTTACTTTTATGATTTTTTTCTGAAAATATATCGTTATAAAACAAGGGACATCTTCATTCAGGGTATGTGTACTGTGAAGGTATGTTTTCAAGTAATTACTTTGTTTCTCTATATGACAAGGTTCAATATCTTAATTGTACTAGTCGGAAACCTGTAACTCAGAGACGTAAAAAGCTTATCTAAAAGTTTCCGGTCTCGAAAACTGATGCGAACCACTCTTAATATAACTCACGACTCTTTTTTTTGTAACTAACATTTACACATACGAGTAAAAATACAACGAGTGTAGATCACCAAATATCTTTGTGCATTTACCAGTTAATGATAAAAGTATGTATATTAAAAATATCATAAAGATTATAATAATAAATGAATAACAGTAATAACTAACAAAAAACACGTCAATAACTATTGCCCGCTTTAGTATGAACCTCCTCGAGGGGAGACACTGCATATGTCCTAATATTATAATCATTCTAAAGTATAGTTATGCGTTTGCCTGCATACAAATAACTGCGCGTGTTCACAAACGAAATTAAAATTCTTTGGTTCAAAATGCACATTTACATGAACACATATGTTATCTGCAAATGCAACATTTACCTTTTTGTTTGCGAGGCAGAATACCCGTAGTTTGCACGAGGACCAGTTGGAACGCGTTGTCAAGATGTATGGAATTAACATAGTCAGTCCTGAAAAAGTAATAACGATTACATTTTCTGTGTAAAGATGTGTTATATGTTTTTAGGGGTAACTTTGCTAATTTTCTATTTTCCAAACACATTATGTAATTTTACGATCGGTCAGTCATAAAAACATCTGCAAATGACCAGTTTCCGGATGCACAATTGTATGTTATTTATAGAAATTTTATAGAGATTTTTTTAAAATGTGTATTGGCAGGCAGACTCAAAACAATATCTGAATGTTTGGATAAGTTTTCACAATTATTTTATAACCTGAAAAAAAGACATCTGCGGGCATGTATCACCTAAGTGCTTTGATAACGTACATGTACAAAAAAATATACAACTGACCCAACTTCCCTTACGATTTTAATATTTCCTCGACATATTTTGCACGTGTGGATAATGTATGCATAGACATGATGCCCCAGGCTCTCCATCATATCACAACAAAGAGAAAAAAACGTATTTAGAAAAGAAACATCTTTTGGAATCAAATCGATTCCATCGCCACCAGCCAAAACAGAAAACAAAAAAAGAAACATAACCAACCCCTATTAAAGAAATGATAAAATAAAGAAATCAATCAAAGATAAAATAAAAACTGAAACAAAAACCCACCAAAGAAAAAGCAATAAGCATCACTCCATAGACGCAACAGAATATGTCCACCCTGCCCTTAGCCCAAGCTAGGACACCTGCAGAGACACAGACCCTATGCCAGGCCCAACGAGACGAAAATCAATAGGTTAGCTCCGGCTGACTCATCTCGGCACATAAACGTTGTCCAAGGAGATTCAAGAACATAATAAATCTGCTTATTGCTCTATAGATGTTCTTTCTTATTTTGAGGCTTTAAGAATATCAAATATCTACGTTCCTAAAAAAAAAATCACAATTCGGTCTTTTCTAAACTCCAGATTGATCGAAAGGCCAAGCGAGGAGAGACCACGTGTGACTGAAGTTTACGGTCGATAAGCTTAAGAGTTACGCAGTCTTTCCACTTCCTTCTTTTCTTCTTTTTTTGAGCTTTTTTTTTTTTACTTTTTTCTTTCTTTCCTTCTTTTTTGAGTAGGCTTACGCAATTTCCCTTATTGTGTCGTATGATGAGCAATTGACTTGGGTCGTATTGCAAAATATTATACAAGTATAATACAATAGGAAAAATGGACGTGAAAGACACAAAGCTCCCGCATCACAGCTCAAAATAAAGGAGACGGAAAGACGAACGGAAGGCGCGAGAATGGCAAACAAAAAGGAGCAATACAAAGAATGACTTTAAAGAGATAGGTAATGAGACATATCCGCATATATATATATATATATATATATATATATATATATATATATATATATATATATATATATATATATATATATATATATATATATATATATACACATATACATATGTATATCATATATATTATATATATATATATATATATATATATATATATATATATATATATATATATATATATACATATGCATATCATATATTATGTATATATAGACACAAGTCCATCTGCGGAGGCCCTGCTCACCGCCATCGTCATAGAGCCACCACACGTCGATGGTTCCCTGCGGCTGCTTGCGCGTGAACCGGAGCATGGAGTCCACCACCTGCGGCGCCACGACCTCCCCGCTAGGGCCTTTGTACGTAGGACTCTTCTTCTTCTTGGCGAGCTTCAGGACGCCCAGGATGGTGTCCGAAGGAAGCCTCTCCTCAGCAGGCGACGATGGGTAGCTGGGCACCGAAGTGAGGTGGCCGGAGGTGGCGGCTGGGGAGGCAAGGAGGACCTTCGTCAGGAGGGTTTTGTCGCTCTTGGAAAGGACTGGCAAGCATGGTCACGTGAATTTGTAGGAACTGATTTCAAGTAAGTGTTCGTGAGTTTATGTTTCATGTTCAAGGAGGGATACTTTTCCGTACGTATTTCTGTATTAAACAAGGCATCTAAATTAAATTAGGGAAATATGTGTATGTTTGTGAGTGTGTTTGTGAATGTGTGTGTGTGTGTATGTGTGTGTGTGTTTGTGTGAGTGTTTGTGTGCGTATGTATGTGTGTGTATATTCGTGTATGTGTGTACATACATATATATATAAACATAACATAAAAATGGAGGTTTAGCGATAACAATATCTCTACTGACATTTCAAAATCAAAGAACTAGTGAATGCTAATCGTAATATTGGTAACGTAAGCGGAGAGACCCGTACGATTCAACTGCAAACTCGACAGCTAATCAACGCGCATACAGCATCCAAAGGAGCAAAAGGAACTCATATATCTACGTCACTCTGAGCACCGTCACCAACAGCAGCCTAATGCAGGAGGCCAAAAAAGGAGGAAAAATAATCATGATAAAAAGGAAACCACACACAGACACTCGGGGACACTGGATATGCGTGCTACTTCTTCATACCTCTAAGACGGTAACTACACAAGACCTACGTAATGGAGGAGCGCATGGTAAGATCTAGCCAATGAAAAAAAAGAAAGAAAGAAACTTCTGGCAGGCGTTCTCTATTATATTTCATCCAGCACTCGGACTGGGCATGCGTTACCATGCATTCTGCGTTCCGGACTTGCAGTGAATGTGACCCAACTAACTTTACCTTGAGTTAATTTTTGTAACCCGTGAGTTAGGGTTTTCGCAAGAGCTGGAAGAGACATTGCAAGTTACACAGGGAAAGTAAGAGCGTTGGATTATGTCATTAATGCTATAGAATCGTGTGCTGTTATAGAAACACGAGAGAAGAGGAATACCTTATGGAAAAAACTACACGCAGACAAATCAATTTTGGATAATATAAACTTAGCATTTATTAATGTTATGTCTGCATAGTGTTTAACTAAAAAAAAAAAGTGAAATGCCAAATCACATCTAGGAAAAAAAGCCCAAATGGTGATTCAGAATTCAGATTTGTTTAAAATGAGATCTTGCTGTTGAATTAAGCGTCTTTTAGCCATATAGCAGCATACCTTTCATAACTAAAACAAATGATATTGACAATAACAGTAATAATGATTCTACTAATAATGATAATACTAATACTAATACTAATACTAATAACGATAATGATAATAATAATGATAATAATAATAACGACAATGGTAATGACAGTTCACAGCAACGGTGATTATAAGAATAATGATAATAAGGATAATGGTGATAATCATCATAATAATGATAACAGCAATAATAATAGTTATAATGACACTAATAGAAATAAATGATAATAATGATGATAATGATAATAATAATAATATGATAAGAATAATAGTTGCAATAATAATAATAATAATATTGATAATGATTAAAATGATAACAATAGTAGTAATAATAATCATAATGATGAGGATGATAATAATGATAATGATAATATCAATAATAATAACAATAATAATAACAATAAGGATAATGACAATGATAATGATAATGATGATAATAGTAATAATAATAATAATAATAATGATAATACTAACAATAATAATAATGGTAATAATAATAATAATAATAATAATAATAATGATAATAATAATAATAATAATAATAATAATAATAATGATAATAATAATAATAATAATAATAATATTAATATTATTATTATTATTATTAATGATAATAAAATAATAGTAACAAGAAGAAGAAGAATGATAATCATCATCATCATCATCATTTTCATAATAGTAATAATAATAATAATAATGGTGTTAACAATAGTGCTAGTAATAATGATAACTATAATAGAAATAATTATAATAATGTTAAGGATAATAATAACCATAATAATGATGATGATGATGATGATGATAATAATAATAATAATAATAATAATAATAATAATAATAACAATAATAATAATAATAATAATAATAATAACAATAACAACAATGCCATCCCTAATAACAATAAGGGCTACGTCAGCAATAACAAAGACAGCACCAATAACAACAGCCTGGCTCTCAGCCCTCGGCAGCGGACGGGCGCCGGCATCCTCCAGGACTCACAGGGGCTGATCTGCGTCTCCTTCTCGTGCAGGTGGGCGGGGTGGAGGCTCACTTCTCCTCCTTCGGGCTGTTGGGGCGCCGAGGTCGAGGGGGCGCTGTTGGAGGCGGCAGGATAGGAGGTGGAGGCAGCGAGGGTCTTCTCCTCCTCCTCGGTCACCTCCGTCAGGTTGGAGTAGTCGAGGCCCCCGTCCACGCGCAGGATGCCAACGGCGAGGTGCAGGTCGAAGGCGTAGCTGGGGGGGAGGGAGGTTGGATCAGGAGGCTGAGCATTTTTGAGTATCTTTTGAAAGAAAAATGGAATGATAGTCTACTGGAAAAGGAAAAAGTGACAATATATCTAGTATTTTGAATTATTTCATCCTTCAAGATAACCAGCCTGTGGAGCTAATGGAGCTTATAAACATAATCAAAGTGTAATTGCTGTCACTATCATGATAAGCTACCATATTGCGAAAAGTCTAAACTATACTGCTAACATCAAAAAATCTTTATACTTTATACTTTATAGCCTATGAAGCTTGCTAGACAATATAAACACAATCGAAGAATCATAACCATAGTCAACATAAGATAATATGAATTGAGACAAAATCTAAAACGCATCGCTAACTTCAGATCAATATTCTCCTCCAGGAACAGCATCCTACGGTGCTTACTGGATAGTCTTGAAGTAGCTCTGTAGTTCCTCCTGTGGACACGTCTGCCAGTTGGCCTTGTAGCCCATGAGGACGGTGTTCGGGCGCAGCTTCCCGAGGCCGACGTTGCACATGAGGTTCCTCGCCGCCTGCTCCTGTGAGGGACCGTCAGCCAGGGTGTAGAACGCCCGGATCTTCCCTCGGACCAGCCACTTCGTCGCGTCGGCCGTCAGGCGGGTGCGCACGCGGTGGGGCTGTTGCTCCTGGGGAAGATTTGGAAAAATAATTGTGTACCGTGTAAATCAGGGACATGCCGGTGATTGTTGAAGGCAGTACGAGTGAAAATGATAAAATCGCCTGCAGAATCCTCTCCAGGAATTCCAGAAGACAGTTTTACCGAAACGTTGAATTACTTTCACTTTCATCCACACCTTCACTCTATCTCCAACCTCGCTAGAAGCCAACAACAACCAATAAAACAGAGACAACACATAAAAAACAAAAAAATAAATAGAGACAAACACCACCACCAAGCAAATTACCTTGAGGCAGTGCCCGGCGATGAGCAAAGACATGTTTTTGGTGATGGAGTTGGCGAAGTGCAGGAGAGGAGGTCTGGCCGACGGCGCCCCGCAGAGCACCAGGATCTGAGGTCGATAGGTCTTCACGTGCTCCTCCACTTGGCCCAGGGAAGCCACGGAGTTCAGGGCGAGGGTGTACGTCTGGGCCTGGGTTGACGATCCCCAGTTGACTTCTGTGTGGGCGGGAGAGGGGGAGAGTTCCTGGGGCTTAAAATAATTCAGGATTGAGAGGAATAAAATTACAGTTGTTAAGATTAGTTCGAGATATTTGCCAAGAAATATGATAACAGTGAAATGTAATAAGTTAGAAATACATTTTAAAAATTCCCACAGAATACCTTAAAACGATCACCACAACCTGATCACCCCCCCCCCCTCCACTTGCACCAACTTACAAGGAAAAACATACAAAGAATTCCTTAAACCACCGCAAAGACACTGACCCGGTTTCCTGTGCGCCACGACGAGATACAGGATGATAATGATGGCCACAGTGAGCAGCCCCGTCCACCACTGAATCAGGAACATGATGGCCGTGCACATGACGCCGCCCAGCAGACTCAGCCACAGGTTGTAATACTGACGAAGACAAAACATGATCCTTGGAGTCGTTCCTTTTCCCCAAGTTAAGTGAGAGAATTGAAGAGGAAAAAATACTACACAAACTGTACTTTTGATTACACACAAATCGAAATAAACGCCAGACGTTTAAGTATATACACAAGGACATTAGTTCAAAATGAGTAAGAGAATTCAAGAAGAAAAAAATATATGTACACAAACTGCATTTTTGATTACACACATACCGAAATAAACGCCAGACATTTAGGTATATACACAAGTACACTATAGTACAAGTACACTAGGTATATACATAAGTACACTATAATACAAGTACACTAGGTATATACATAAGTACACTATAATACAAGTACACTAGGTATATACATAAGTACACTATAATACAAGTACACTAGGTATATACATAAGTACACTATAATACAAGTACACTAGGTATATACAT